TGGCCTTAACAACTATTGGAATGAAGTAGAAGGAAGTTGGTTCGGACAAATATCCAATTAAAGCCACCCAAAACCAAAGCTAAAATAGCCTTGAGTGGCACCTAGATGCCAACTTTGGGGCTCCTATGCACCACCCATGAGCCTAGACATGCTCAAGTAATCGAGAACCTGGTGCCTTTGTGTAAGGTCTGGAGCACCCAGACACACCCTCCATAATCACAGCTTGACCCTTTGGCACCAAGTATGGGGCGCATAAGCATCTCCTTCAACATTCAGGCCCAACTTTAAGCGGTGTCAAATTGCCATCTACTGAAAATAGAATTTTTTCTTACCATTGGAGCAACACTTTGGGGCTCCAAGTAAAAACCCCAACGCCAACAAATTGACTTGGGAGAGTTAGAATTTTTTCTACTTGTGTGGCCTTCCTACTCTATAAAATGCAAGTTCTCTTGACAATTTAAAGCATCACAATCTTATCTGGTTTTGGTGTGTGAGTCTCTATGAGTGAATGATTCTGTAAAAGAGGGTGTGAGAGCACTATTTCTATGAGGGAGAGAGGATTCTCCAAGAAAATGAGTGATCGTAAGGGTAAGGTGCAAAGAACACAAAATTGCATCACATCAAGGGTTTAATTTGAGTTTTTATTCTCTAAACTTACTATGCATTTATTGTTTTGAATAACTATATATATATATATATATATATATATATTAATTAAAACCCATTTTACCTATATATATATATATGCTGTTTTAGAGTATGAATAGTCACAAATTTTCTTTTCTTCCTTGATTTAATGAGTAGAAATCCTAGGGTTTGTGATATTATCAAGTGACTTACTTAAACTAATGTAATGGTGAAAGTTTTTCCTCCAATCCATCATTTACTTTCAACCTGCCCAGTTAGATAGTTAAAACACATTGTGTTCATTGAGATTCAGGAGAATCCATAGTGGAACAACTAGGATAAAGTTCATTAACCAGAAGAATAGGGATATTACGCTTAGTTTAGTTCTATCTTGTAGAGAAATACTCATTCATTGGGGATTTCACTGAATTTAGAAAACTAAACTGGTTAATGACTCTAGCTTCCTTATTGTCAGTCACTGAAGAGGCTAAGACACCTTCATGGAAGGGGCTAAGGAAGAGAATTATTTTTGGTAGTTACCATCTTAATTTTCACTTTGTAAACCTTCGATTTCACTTAGGAGAGATACTTCTCTTGCTAGAATTACTTCTCATTGTTAAACTAGGATTTTAGGCTTGCTAAAATTAAGTTAGAAACATTCAAAAACAACCAATGATCGAACCTTCAAGATAAATTCAAAACCAGTTGGCAAGCTACTTTTCATAGTTGGAAATTCACTCATTGTTTGTGGGATCGATACACAAAGTTAGTTTCGTATACTACTTGGATACTTATGTAATTCACTATCGTTTCACATCATTTTATGTTTCTGCACTATAGGCTACTCAAACTTCCCACTCATATGTCCTATTGCATTGCAGTGCTCCACATTCCGGTCCTTTGGATTCACCTCTAGCTTATTCGGTAATGTCTATTGCAGTCTTTTGCTCAATGAGTTAGCTATTTTCCAAACTTTGTTTTTATGTTTCTAATAGCTTCATCATGACTTTATTATTAATGTTTCATGTTTAGTACTGTCATTTCCAAAGATAGTCTATTTCCTTAAATCAGATATTATAAGTAAATCAAATAGAGTAGGTAAGTATTTAGATGCCACTACTCTGGTTATTCTACTTACCTTTAGAGTTGGGTTGGTTAATAGTCCATTGCTAGTTTTCCACCCCTTGGTTATTCTTATTTCAATAAAAGTTTAGATGATTTTTTTAACCTATATTTATGTGTTAAATAAGAGTTATTGAACCTATCTTCTATGACATTAAAGGTTTTCAAAAAATTAATACAAGAATCTTCTTTTGATATGTAAGCTATCTCATTATTAGGTAGTGTCCTTGCAATGAATTAAGGCGTGGGTTATATAATTTGTTTAGATATAGACATATTTTGTAATGTTAGGAAAATTAAAACTTCTGCATCACGTACACTGCTATCTTTCTAGGACTGACTCAATCTAAAGAATATTGAAAACTCATAATCATCTCCACGATTAATGAATAAGCCTTTTTAAATGGCTTGACATAAGTGGCCACCTAGCTGCAACATCTATTATTGACCTCAACAAAAAAAAAATCATTATAAAAGGTATGCATGGTGGGGATATTTCATAAGTAGCTTCTTAAATGTCTCCCAAGCTTTATAGATTAGTTCTCCATTTAATTGGGTAAATGAGATGACATCATTATTAAGTTTTGTCATCTTGAATGGAGGTGAATGTTTAGCAAGGAATTTTAGGACTAACTTAATTTATGTGGTATGTGATCCTTTAGCCACATTTTGGACATATACCTAACTAATAAAGGGAAAGCCCTAATTTATATAAATCATAAGAAATACTATTATAAATAAATGTGGCATGTACTTCTAGGAAACTAGCTAAGTGAAGATTAAGGTCATATGTGGCTAAGCTCCCAAACACATTTTTTTGCACTATCTGAATGATAGCTGGTTTCAATTCAAATGGACTAGCTTGTACGTTAGGGTTGTTAATTTTCAAATGGATTTCTTTTACCGAAGGAGTGACATACTCTCCAAGAGGTTTGAAGTGTTTTTCTAGGGGCAAGATTTTCATTTCTCCTAAATTCTTTTTTAGCTTTTTAATTTTTTTTATTTTTTTTAACGATTCTCTCTAAATCAATGTCGTAAGGCACTTGTTTAGTTATTCCAGTCCAACACATACAAACTTAGAACAAACAAGTAAAAGACCATAAACTAGCCGAAACAACAATCCACAAGTAGAATTCATAGAAAATGTTTTAAAACAGAAGTATATGCAGAAAGTAAAAACAAGAACAACAAATTTCTTTTTTAAAAATTTTCTAACACAAAGTATTATCAAATAAGCTACAAAAAATATGACAATAATTTTTGAGTCTAAAACCAAAGGATTAAACTAAAATCTTCATAAAAATTAGAAATTCAATGTCATTTCCCAGCAATGACAATAAAAACTTGATGTGACCAAAATGATATGAAGCATCAGTGATACATGTAATTATGCATGTCAACCAAGTAGTATAAGAAAATGCGTTTGTGCACCGATCCCAAGAGGAATAAGTGAACTCCCAAAATGTGGGAACTTTTTAATCTACTGGTAACTTGAGATTAAAATTTTAGAGACTTTAAAGTTTCTAATCCTAATTTTTGAAAAAAAATTAAAATCTATATTTAACTTTGAATTTGAACAAGTGATAAAAAACCTCCCTTAAATTGATCCTATGCAAATCAAACCAAATTTGACGACTCTAATAATGTTGATAATTAGGAACAATAATTTTCCTAAGCTTCTCTCATTTATTATAAAAAAAATTTGTTTCCATATTACAGTTAGTCCTCTAATTGTCATAGAAAACTGTTGAATCTAGCCCAATTGAAACGATTTATTATAAATTTACAAGCACAAAAATAGACAATTTTTACACAGCTGAGAAATGGTTATAAGGATTCTCAAAGTACAATGTTTGTATACAGAAAATTTATTATACAATGAATGAAAGAGTTGTTAATGGAAGATTACGACTGGCCTTCAATTCATTGTATTTAAGATACATTGTTGCACAATATTTAGAATATAGTACTTCATCATGTGTGGGAGATTTTACACTTAATAGTGTCCCCGTTACTCTGTAAAGTGTTTCGCTATTCTGTAGCAAGGGGTGACCGACTGTGATTGAGGCTCGCCACCGTTGATCTAGGGAGGTCACCACACCACGTTCGATAACAACAGAGGCCGAGAGTTGTTACTGGGTCTTTAGTCCATAACAACAATATAAATTGGTTCTTTATTGTCTTTCCTTCTCCTTCTTCCAAGTAAAGAAGACTGTCTCTTTATAGTCCCCAAAAAAGGACATTTTCATTCTTTGGCAAATAACCACCATATCTATATGATCGAATGGCATAAGTTGATTCCCTTAGATCATTGATTTTTTTTATGAACCAGTGACATTAATGACCTCAAAATTAGGTGATCATGGGCCCGTAGGATTCCTCTTGTTGAGATGTTCGATTTAACTTTATGCACGTCTAATTTAGAGTTCATTTGCCCTTCTAATTAACCACCCCAAGGATCTCCAAAAAATAGTTTAAGTGGATTCATCTGGGCTTGATTTGCTTTGAATTTGATCAAATTTGATATCATTGAGTTCGTCTTGTCAATTTGGTCAGTTTAACTTAAATTTACAAAAACTAAACTTCAAAATGATTTTTAATGACTTTAAATATTTTTACAAGAAAATGACTTGAGCTTCATGTCAAATGCCTGAGAATAATTATAAATTACAAAATTTGATGATGACAACCCTTGCGAGCATTACATGATATATATCTATCTTCTATATTTATGTTTGAATTCCCTGTTCAACTTCCCAACAACAATATTTACCAACTTTTACAGTGAAATACCCCTTTCATATACAACTTCGAGTACACCAAAATATTATAAACATAAATATATATAGTAAATTTTTCCTTTTTCTTTTAATTTCTTCTAAGCTACAATCCAGCCCGGCATCTACTGTTGCCTCCTTTTTGAAATTTCAATCATTCGCACAAAGCAACAAGACAACCACACCCATGTTTCACGACTAACCTAAGAAGATAAGCCATAATAATTGCATAAATATTTCATAAATGTGCATAACCAAATAATTTGAAGTATAATACACAACAAAATTAAATAACTTACATAGCCTATCAACATCATAACTTAAAAAAATAATAAAAATAAATCATTCAATTATTATCAAAATCAGTTTTCTTTCTTCTTTCCTTCCTCTCGCTTTCAAAATTATTTTTTTTTTTACAAGGGCCCATTGCCATCAGTCATACGACAGTAAAGAGAAGGAAACAGCCATGCATCATTACATCCAATAAATAAAAATCTAACATTAATGCAGAATTTTACAAAGCACTAGCACCAATGACTTCCAGAAACCAACAATAAATTACACTGGACCAGATAGTCGCAAAACTGAAAGCTAAATACAAACAAAAGCATTCAAAAACCTTGTTTAACAAAAAAGAAATGAGAAGGCAACAGCACCGACAGCTTCCCATGACCTTGTTCCATTCTCTCCCATTCCAAAAACAAAATATTTCATCCATTTACAGTATTTAAATTCTAAAAAAAAAAAATTGGTGGATGAAATACTCTATTTGCTGCTTTCTAAACTATGATCTGTGGATCTATTTGGAGAGAACAGCACCTCTCTAAATTCTTCGTCTCATCATCTCCCACTGATGCAGAGGTGACGCTCTGATCATCTTCATAGTAGTAAGGAGAGAGCTTCCCGTCCTTGGGGAATGGCTTCGGCTTCTGCTCGTAGCCCACTTCATAAAGCATCTTGACTACCCTTCTCATGGTGGGGCGGTTAATGGGAAGAGAACTGGTACAGAGCAGACCGATGTGAAGGACTTTGGTTATCTCTGCCTTGTAGCAAAGATCCAGCTTTGAATCAATCACGTGATCTTCTCCTTTCTGCTGCACTGTGCTGCACACCCACTTCACCAAATCCTTTTCTCCGAACTCTGGATCTACAGGAAGCTTTCCTGTAACTAGCTCAAGGATGACGACTCCGAAGCTGTATATGTCGCTCTTCTCGTTCACTCGTAGAGTGTATGCGTATTCTGCAGCAGATATTAGAGATATTAGCTTTGTTAGACACTAATTATCTAAAAGCATAAATACAGAATTCCGGATTGGAATGAGCTGAAAGAGCTTAAAATACAGATTAATCTCTGTTAAATGTGTTTAATTTGTGCTAATCAATGTAATGTACATTTCTATTATGATTTGTCTTGCACTTAATTTGGACTCTTAATGACTTTTTCCAGATTGAGAGTAGGTCAGCAAAGCATAACTCAATTCTCATTTCATCATTAATATTTTTTCACACTAATTACTCAATATTTTTTTTTATTGCCAATGTAATTGTCTAATATTTTTCTTGGTTGATTAATGCACTTCAAGTATACATATATTTGTTATTCCTAACAATCAAACGGACAAATTCAACGCATTTAGTAAATGATCATGAACCTTTTTTGACACCCCTATTAGAGGCTTAGAATTAATATTAATGTTGAAAAAACATAGCATGTGCTCATGAGACATCATCTAAAGCAGCTTCTATAAATTTTTTTTTGATGGGGTCGGTGAGCTTAGAGCATGGGACATTACAACCGGGCCAAAATGCCATTGGCCACCATCTCATCAGCAACTTTGATAAAGTTGATAAAGTTGTGTAACCAAATGGAAAAGTATAAATCCAATTGAAAAAGAAGCCTAGTTTTAACTTTTAACTTTTAGGGCAAAAAATCGCTTTCCATGATGCAGATTTTTGGATAGAAAGTGCAGCTTATGAAAAAAAAAGGTAGATATGTGCAGTCACAGTCAGTACAGCAAAGCCATTATGGTGAACCAAGACCTTGAGTTGCAGGCCATGGTGAGGAAAACTACAGTCTATATATAACAAGGACTGGAAGCACAAGAACTCACCAAGTCCACTTATAGTAAAACAGCATAGCATAGCTTGCAAGAGCGAATGGGAATATTTCCAAAGTAAAGAAATTATGTAGAAATCTAAAGGTGTATTTCACTTTTTAAAAATAAAAAAGGGGGTATTTTCATGTGATACGAAAATTGTAAAAATTAAGTTTGGGTGTTAGATATGTAAATTCCTAAGTATTGGATGGTATGCATCAGCCGAGTGATGCATGACACACGTGCATATTTACAGCAAGTGCTCGTCCGATAGATGAGGCCACATGAGTCGACCTAATTGTTGTTATCCACAATATTCTTATTGTACCATGTTTTGGACAACACGGTCTACCAAATTCAGCCAAACTAACAAGAATAAATTGATCAAGGATAAATCATTTGATCTTTGAGTATCAGGCATTAGCCCTAAAGTTTCACACTTCTTAAAATTTCTCAAAAAAGTAAAAATCATACCTTTATTTTTAAAAACGACATGCAATTCTCAAAAACCAACGAGATAACAAGAATAATTATTTGAGCATGTCTGAAGAAAAATAAAACTATTAAAGCTAAAACAAGATGAAATAGCTACAAAACAATTTGATAAATTCAAAATACCTGGAGCGATGTATCCGCACGAACCAGCAATAACAGACATAGATCTGGGGCCTTTCTCCACCCCTTCCACCACTTTGGCAACCCCAAAGTCTGCAACTTTAGCCCCAAGCCCCGCATCTAAAAGAATATTGTTGGATTTCACATCTCTATGGACAATCGCAGGAACGCAGTCATGGTGAAGATAACAGAGCCCCTCTGCCGCATCCACAGCAATCTTATACCTCGTCGGCCAATCCAAAACACTCGCTTTATTACCATGTAACAGATCTCCCAAGCTCCCATTCGTCATGAACTCGTAAACAAGTAGCTTGCAATCCTTATGAGCACAACAGCACCAAAGCTTAACAATATTCTTATGTCTTATCTTCCCCAAAGTCGCTACTTCTGCTTCAAAAGCATCGTCCGAAGCTTGGTCATGACTTTCACCATTCATCTTTGTATTTCTAAACAGTTTTTTTACAGCCACGGCCTCACCGTTGCTAAGCACTACCTTGTAGACTTTACCAGAAGCTCCGCTTCCGATCACATTATCTTCGTCCAAGGAATCAAGTATCTCATACTCGCTGAATCCTAGCTTGTGGAATGAAGTGAGAATCCACTTGCTGGATTTCTCCTGCCCCTTGTTTGCCTTCTTGATCTGTCTGTATTTGCAGTAAAAGAGAGCAATTCCGGAGATTAATACTATAGCCATGAGAATAAAGATTGAACGAAGAAGCCACAAATACTTGGTTCGGTTCTGACTACTGTTGTTAGAGCTTGCACAGAGACCAGATTGATCCCAGCACAAGCCGGGGTTACCTAAAAAGCTAGTTTTGTAAGCTTCGTTGTGGAAGAGGGGAGGAATGGAACCAGAGAGCTGGTTGTCAGATAAATTGAATTGATTCAGTTTCAAGTTTTGTAATTGGAATGGGATTCCTCCGGTGAGGCTGTTGCCGGACAAGTCGAGGTAGTTTAGCACCGGCAGGTTTCCGAGCTCCGGCGGAATTCTGCCTGTGAACTCGTTGTTTGCGAGATTTAAAAGGGTGAGCTTGGTCGAAGATTGAATTGCGGTAACAAGCTCGCCGGAGAGCAAGTTGTTGTGCAGGTCGAGCTGACCCAGCTCAGTCAGCTTTCCGAGAGATTCAGGCAAGGGGCCAGTGAGCCGATTGTCGCCGGCTGAGAACTCATAGAGCTTGAAGAGTGAGCCAATCTCTGCGGGAATGTTTCCGGTGAAATGGTTTCTGTCGATGAGCAACTTAGAGAGATTGGCGGCGCCGGCGATCTCAGGGGTGATTCCTCCGGTGAAGGAATTGTTACTGAGCTCGAGAATCCAGATATGTGGCAGTCCCCACATCCTGGATGGCACATCACCGGATAGCCGGTTGTTGCTGAGCCGCACGCGGTTGAGATTCCGGCAACGGCCGAGGTCTGCAGGGAGGCTTCCGGTGAAGTCGTTATCTATTAAAAGAAGCTCCTGCAGCACACCACCTTCACAGATACCTCTGGGAATATCGCCGGTGAGCTGGTTTTCGGATAGGTCAACAAACATGAGCGGGGAATGCGCCCCGAGACTGGCTGGAAGAGCACCTGAAAGCTGGTTCTCAAAAAGCCGGAGCTCGTAGAGCTTTGACGCCAACGCGGCGGTGGGGGGAATTGAGCCGGTCAGCTGGTTTTGATAAAGGTGGAGGTTTTCCAAATTGGGGATGAAGAAAATATCATCCGGAATCGAACCAGAGAGATGGTTCATGGAGGCGTCCATTCGGCGAAGGTTAGTGAGGTTGGAGAGTCCAACAGGTAGATGACCAGAAAGAGAGTTGTTATAAAGCTCGATTTGAACAACTGAGGCGAGGCCGGAGAGTGATTCAGGAATGACATCGGTGAGGAAGTTGTTGGAAAGATCGAAGTTTGTGAGCTTGGAGAGCCCGCCCAGACCTGGAGGGATGCTGCCGACGAGGTTGCAGCCGGCAAGCCAGAGCTTTTCGAGGTTGGTGAGATTAGAAAATGAAGATGGTATAACACCGGCGGCGAACGGGTTGTAAGACAGATTAAGCTGACGAAGAGATAACAGGTTGCCGAGAAGAGAAGGAATGGTGGCATTGAGGAGATTTCCGGTCAAGGAGAGAACTTGAAGAGATGGAAACAAGGAGAATGAAGAAGGAATGGCGCCGGAAAAGTTATTTCCAGAAAGGTCGAGGTAGAGCAGCGAGGGAAGGGAAGGTAACGAGTCTGGAAGAACGCCGACGAGAAGGTTTTGGGAGAGGTCGAGGTGTGTAAGCGAAGTACAGGGTAGGAGAGAGGAGGAGGGAAGAGAGGAGTTAATGTAGTTTAGGGAAAGCGAGATGAACGAAAGATTGGGGAGGCTGCAGAGAGAGGATGGGAATGGGCCGGCGAGGTTGAGGTTAGCGAGATTGAGGGACGTGACGGAAGAAGAGGAGGAGCAGAGTATTCCGGTCCAGTTACAGGGAGTAGCGTCGCGGGAGTTCCAGTTGGCGAGAGCGCTGTCGGGATCGGAGAGGCCGCGCTTGGCTTCAAGGAGGTAGAGGCCTTCCTGGTTTAGGGAAGAAGCTAGGGGGGATAAATGGAGGGAGAGCAGGGCAGTAGCTGCTAGGAGGATGGGAAGCCGAAGAGGAATCATATCTCCTGTGTTATCTTTTCTCTCCTTTCGCTTGCGCTGTGTGGGGGCTTTTAGATGTTTGGAGGGAAGGGATCGAGTGGGTGGCGGCGGTGGATTTGGCAGTAAACAATAATTCTCTGTTTTCTAGAATGAAAGCATAGGATGGTAAGATATGTAAATAGAAATATTTGGAGTAGTGTGTCTGTAAAAAGCCTTTATAAATAGCAATAAAGTATTATTGATTTATAAATTTAAAACAATTTGTCTTTGTTCGGCGATGTGATATCAGGGAAAATAGGTTTCAAGTTCTCTGAAATTAGCGGTAATAATCGCATTCAAATAAGTTGGGATGGCAATTATTATTGCGTGCATAATTTTATGTACTTATATCGATTAAGGGTTAGTATAAAGTGTAGTTGTCTTCTTCTAATCATATTTCGCATATAATAGCACAAAATTATGACGTCTAATTTTTGTGACTTCAAATCAAGTGAGAATGCAATTGAGTAAAGAGTTGTGTAATCTGATCTAATCTGCAATACGCATTGCAAATTGAGAGATTTTAATCCCAAATGATTTAAAGGGGATTATGATATGATTAAATTTGATAAGTCCAAAAAAAATTTTACACTTGATCTCACACGAATTTTCATGCATTGTAGATTACAAATGTTTAGAATTAATTTAAAGACCATTCAAACTCTGATTTAAATTCTTAAAAATAAAAGCTCTAGAACATCAAAAATAATTCAATTTGGGCCCAAAAAAACTCAGATAATATTTAAAGAATAAATTACTCTCCAAATTTTGCATGTGGATGACTAAATCAATTTTCTCATAGAGATAAATTTAATAAGCTCGAGAATGTTAAATTTACTATCATTAAGGCACTCGAACTTTTAAAAATATCTCGTAAACATGACAATTAATATAAGGTTTTTGATAGTGTTAAGGATCTTAGTGATATTTTATGGAGAACGACACTTTCAAAATTTACAAGTAGATCATTGTTTTCAACATGGAGTGGGGTTGGAAGGCTAAATCTATACTGATACTAAACATTTGATGGTGCTCAAAAGTTTGGAGGATCCTTGAACTCTATTTGATTACTATAATCCAATTTTTGCTACAGAACCACCACCAGCTATATGTTCATGCCCATTGGTCGATCACCATCATTAGACCATCATTGCTCGAACCACACTAACAAACCATTCTCTGCAGTCCATCATTATTAGACCACTGTCACTCATCCATCATTATTTAATTGTCACAACCGCACCTTCATCTTAAAATAGTCATCACTCGTCCACGAATCTCAAACCATCATTGAACTATTGTAACTAGACCAACCTTGTTGAATAATTACCGCCTAATCAACACGAATGTTTGATTATTGTCACCCAAATATGGTTATTTGACCATCATTGCTCGACTACAATCACGCAAGATTGTTTGCTTATCTATATTTGTATAATTTCCATTGCCCCGCTATACTAACTAGACTACTATCATAATCCACGGTCGTCGAACCATAATAGTCAAGTTGTTGTCACTTATTGCTCAACCATTATCATCAAATTGAGACTACTTATCCACCAATATTTGATTATTGCCGCTAAACTGCCATTACGAAATTATTATCGCCTATTTGTGATAGCCAAGTTAAAATTATTGCCATCACAAAATTATTATTATCAAATTACCATCACCAATCCACCAACATCAAAAAATCCGCACAAAGCAATTCTATCAATATGTCATAACATGACCAATGTCAACGCTCGACAATCATTGCCCGACTACAATTATTTGATCACCGATGTCCAACTATTATCGACCAACATGGGTCCCATGACTACAAACATGCATTCTTCATCGCCTAACTATGACAATAAAATTATTGTCCCCTGACTACATCCTTTTGATCTCTTTCACATGACCATAGCCATATGATTATTCGTGGGAGCATTGTCACCTAACCACAATCAAATGATTGCCATCATCTAAATCAGCAGAAAATTAGCATCATTAGTCCACCACCATAAAATAGCCACAAAAACCAACATTATCATATTGCCACAACTTGATCGATACTAGCGCTCAACCATCGTTACATGAATATGATTATTTGAGAACCATCATCAAATTATAGTCGCCCAACCTACATCTCATGACTATGAACAATTAACTTTTGTTGTCCAATTATGACGATACAATCGTTGTTCTTTGTCTACAATCATTTGAACTATGTTGCATGATACTGTCATCTGACCATCCATGTGATCATTATCTCCCCACTATGTCCATTTGATAGCTATCATCCACTACAGAATAATACGTAACTTTTGTAAGACAAATTTGTTGGAAAAATAAAGTTTTCCATCAACAAATAGATTTTGATGATTTTTTTTTCTTTTGGATTAAACACCGCTAGAATTCCCTTGGTAGAAAAATCATTTTGACAACCTAAATACCATCAAGAAACTATGATGGCTTACCATTTGGACATCGTCGCCCATCTAAATAATCATGATTATTATTTCCCTCTACAATCATTTGACCATGTTTGTCTAATTATGATCACCCTATCTTCGTCGTTAGACCAGGGTTACCCGATTATAAATACAAATCCAGTACCTTTTGTCCTTATTTGATGACTTCATTGTCCTCCATCACTTATATGATCATTGCAAGTCATCGAAGCACGCTATCATATGTAATGTTAATGCATGTCTCTAATACATGTCATTACACGTAAGGTCAATATACACCAATACTACTAAGGTTTGTCAATCCTACTTCTTATCATGCCAAGCTCGATCTTAATTCTGTGGTCAAACCATGCCGTTCTCAAGATGTTTATACTAGAATTCTTCATCTCTAGAATCATCGCCATGTAGAAGAACAAAAAAAACAATGCAATAATTTCTTTTAAGACAACTCCAATATCTTAATGATTATCTAACTTCCTCAATAAAATTTAATCTACATATCTAATTTAATGAAACCTCATGCTTCTCATTTATTAGAAGTTTTTTTTTTATATATATACACTAGTGAAATCATTTCAATTAGGCAAGATCAAATAACTTTTTTCCTATTTTAAACCATTAATGTGAAATTCGTGTCTCATCTTATAATTCTTCTTCTACATGTGTGTGTCACATCTTCATACAAAATTAAGCAGCTAATCTCTTATTCTATTGCCACATATTTCTCGCATGCAATAAAAATTATATTAAAATAATTCTGTAAAACACTGTTAACAACTATAACTATGTATTAAAGACTTGGAAGTGCAATATTTTAAGTTGATAGACTGCATTAAACATGATTTAGCATCAATCAGACATAGAAAAGAGATAAAACGCTTATATTGCATTATAGAAATTAGAAGTTAAGAGTTTGACAACTATTTTGATTCCGATTTATCATACCGATTAACTAATGCGCTGGTCAATTTTAATTAATTTTTGAAATTATTTAAACATTCCTCAAATATATAAAAATTAATGTGATCATATAACACAAAATTTGATTCATGTTCTCCTTGCCCGACGATATAAATAAGTTTCTTTACGGCGACAAAGCTGTTGTCTTTATGCCGGGCGGAGTGGACCTCGCCGAAGCCGGTTGAGCGGGACGAGGACATGTTGGTGGAAGTCATTGGTGGCGTTGAGAAGTTTAGTTCGTCGATTTCCTTCAAATTTGAGTCGTCTAATTCGTTGTAGGAGAGGTCGAGGAAGATCATGGAGCCGTTGTTGTTGAATGTGTACTGTGTGCTTCCCATATAAACTCTCGAGAAATTGCAGGTTCCAAATTGGTAAGACGAAAAGTCCTTGGCGGATTCCGACGAATGATAGGAGATTTCCCGATCCCCATGTCGTGGTCATTCTTGTCGATTTTGAGATAAAACTTGTTGACCACAACGGGGGAAGAATTCCAATGGGAAGGAGTGTAATAGCCAGCCGGTGAAGAACAATACATTAGATCCTAAAACTCATATTTATACATTATGTATGTGCGGCAATTGTTTATTTTGGTATATAATGAAAGAAAAATATTTAGGTTAAGGGTCTGTTTGGCGCAGCTGTGGATTATTTATAATCTGCTGATAAGCAGATTATTGTGATAATCTGATAATCTGTAGATTATCAGAATAATCTGGCTTGCTGTTTGGGCCAGCTTATTGAAGCTAGCTTATTGGTGGTTGAATGACATAACTGCCCCTATGTGATAAAACTGTTTGGGGCAGCTTATTTAGAATAGCTTATGCATAGAAAAGAAACATTAATTGCAAAAACATACGATAATGATAGACTAGTTATAAAAGAAAACATACAGTTCTCACATCTTAACGAGTACCAGTACAACTAAAAAAAGTACAAAAACAAGTACAACAACAAGAAGAAATATTAAAATATTTAACTTCAGACTCTGGCTACAACGGTCTTCAACTGCACAGTCAGCCTGAGAAAACATCGGATTGACATGACTGCTGGCATAATTACTGGCGGTGTAATTTGTGGGACTATCAGCCCACCTGAAGAAACCGCAACGAGCTGTAACACCTCTGGCACAACCATAGAACTGCCTCCCAAAGCTACGCTCCTTACGTGACGTTAGCAACGGAGACGGTAGTCCACAATAACACAAAATCTCTCTGTCCATACCTGATATCCTGGAAGTCATGTTTGTTTAACTGCGACGAAAACAAAAGAATCAATGTCCGTTTAAGGTGTTTTAAAAGTAACCAAAATTAAATACATTTGAATATCAACCTATAACTTTATTAAAGTCAAACTTGGTAGATCAACAGCCACAAATAGCATCTGTAATAGACTCCCTTAAAGCAATCATATCAGCCAAACCTTCACCCTCCTGATCTCCAAAATCATTAGAGTCTACATCATCCTCAGGTAATGAAGTACCAACCACAATTTCAGGAGTTTGGTCAAAGACATTCAGTTCGTTGTTGTCAGTCATACTAAAATCTGTATCTAATCGTGAGGCATGTCTTCGGATGAAGTTATGTAGTGCCATTGTTGCAACCACAATATGCACATGCTTTTGGAAAGGATACGACGGCATATCGCGTAGGATGACCCATTTCTTCTTCCAAACCCCAAATGTTCTTTCAATTACCCCGCGTAAAGATGAGTGACGTTGCAAATGATGGTAATTATTTGTTTATCAGATAGTAATTATATTATGAATCGTATGATAAGTTATAAAATAAAACTACCCGCAGTTACCTTGAAATATGGCATGTATCGAGGATCGTTGGCAATCTGTAGTGGAGTGGTTGCAAATGATGGATCCTCCGGTTTAATTATTTTGGTTGCTAAGCTAAGAAGTGCCTTTATGCCTTTAGAAAAGTAACGACTTATTGTTTCAGAAGAATGTTGAAATCTTTCCATAGCTCCTCTAATTGATTCATTCTGTGATAGAATGTACAATGTTATAGCCAACACCTCCCTACACACCGCTCTGGAAGAACCC